GAGTCAGAAACATCGATGAGAGAGAAACATCAATCAGCTGTCTCCTGCATACCTCCACTGGGCATGTGCCCGAAACCAAGGTACATGCCCTTGACCGGAATCGAACCTGGGACCCTTAAGTCCACAGGCCGACGCTCTATCCACTGAGCCAAACCGGTTTCGGCAAGAATTTTATTTTAATTGAAACATGTTTCTGTCAAACCCATGCACTTACATCATTTGAGGTCTAAACATGAGAGAAACATGCAAGGTAAGCAGCACTCCTCTTTCCCCATGGACTGTGCCACGCCTCTGAAGTCACCTGGTTTAACAGCTGCCTTGCGTTTTGAGACTTGCTGTAGCTGAGGGGTTCAGAAGGAGGACGCTGGTCTCAGATTCCAGTTCTGCCACTGCCACCTGTGTGGCATTAGTCAGGGTCCCTGAGCTCTTACGCCTTAGTCTCCGCATCTGTAACGTCGTGGTAGGAATAGGATCTGCCTTGTAGGTTCTTAAAAGGATTAAATGAATCAAAATACACAGAGGCTTAGAACAGTGCCTAGAGTAGTAAATGCTTCAAAGATATTGACCATATTATTTCTTATGGCTGCTGATCAGATGCCTTTGTTCTAGGACACAGTAACTTGTGTTGATATAGTTTCAGAAAAAAACTTCCCTTTTGCCCTTTAGTTTCTGACCAGAGTCCTTAAAAGCTTCCTCTTATTCCACGACACGATTCCACTTAAGCCCAGTTAACAGAACACTGTGCATACCCCCCCCCCCCCCCCCCCCCCCACCCCGCTGCTGGCTCCCAGGGAGAGCTCAATTTTGAGAAAGTGTTTTAACCTCAGCAGCAGGCCTGGGAAGAATCGCTGTTGCCAGTGATGGCGAACCTTTTGAGCTCGGCGTGTCAGCATTTTGAAAAACCATAACTTAACTCTGGTGCCGTGTCACATATAGAAATTTTTTGATATTTGCAACCATAGTAAAACGAAGATGTATATTTTTGATATTTATTTTATATATTTAAATGCCATTTAACAAAGAAAAATCAACCAAAAAAATGAGTTCGCGTGTCAGAGTTGTCATAGGTTCGCCATCACTGTCCTAAGCTGAATAAAATGTATAAACTCATGTGTTTACATCGCTTGTTGTATTTTTTCCTAAAATACATGAAATGAATACATAATTCTTCATATCACACCTGTAGGGCCATGAACCCACTCTCCGTTCTCCTGCACCGTATTTCAGAAAAACAGTTTCAATGTGTTGACTGTAGCGTCTTTCTTCCTTTGGGTGGTACAGAGGTTGAAATGACATCAGAAGTCCTGGCAAAATTCCTGATCATTTGCGTAGCGTTTTAGGTCCTGCGTTAGCAGACTTTAAAGTCCTTCTCCCAAACTACAGCCCCCTTGCTGGTATGTGCTTGGGTCATTTGGCTGATCCTGAGTTGTACAGCCAGTGAGTAGTTCAGGAAGAGAAGGTGATACTCAAAATTGTTTTCATCTTACAAATTGCCCCCTTTTCTGTAAGGCTTAGTGGCTCTCTGTCACGCCCATGCAACTATTCAACACGGTCGTCGTTACTAGCCCAGCCATAGACAGTAGGTGACTGTGACACTAAAGTGTGAATTTCATATAATTTGTATGTTTAGTGAACTATTAATCCTTTTGATTTCCCCTCCACCCCACTGCCCCAACCATATAAAAATGGTAAAAACCTTCTCCTTGGTTGCGGGCACATCCCCTTGTGCAGGAGGCAGCTGATCGATGTTTCTCTCTCATCGATGTTTCTAACTCTCTGTCCCTCTCCCTTCCTCTCTGTAAAAAATCAATAATAAAAAAAAATTTTTTTTTTAAAAAATAAAAATGGTAAAAACCTTCTTAGCTTGTAGGCCATAGAAGAACAGGTGGTATGCTGGATCTGGCCCATAGCTTGGTTTGCCAACCTCTGTTGTATAGATTAAGAGAAGCTGATTCAGTCTCCCCATTTTACAGAAGGCAAGTTGAGGTCCCTAGGAGAGTGCGGGGGAGGTGCCGAGGTTCCCGGCTCCCCATCCTGACTCTAGAAATGGCTAGTCAGGTTTTCTTTTCATTGCACTCTACTGCCCTCTGCTGTTTGCAGTGATAAGAGCATTTATTGGAAGAAGTGGACTCGTTACTGAAATGTTCCCATAGTCAGACAAGACTGATTTATAAAAAAAAGAAAAGTGCCATAGGAACAGAAAAACCATATAGTTACAGCAATGGAAACATTTTAAGCAGCAACATAAAATTGAAATAAATTGTTCGATAAAACTTGTATGAGAATTTAGAAACCTTTTTTTTTTGCGAGGGGGGAGGGTGTGTGGATTGAGCTCAGAATCATGTGTCTGTGACCTTAGAACTGGATTTTTGAGAAGCACTTTGTGCGGCCAAAAGGCTTCTACTGGAATCCCATTGTCTTAATGGTCAAAGTGGTTTATATTCTCAGTGATTTATTTATTTAATTTATTTATTTATTTTGCTTCCCCCTTTATTTAGACCTCATGGCCAGAATTGATGCCTTCGCCAATATTTGCTTGTGGGATCCCAATTTAAGTCATTAATGTTTTAGGATGATATTCCTGGGGCCTGTGAGCTAAAGGTCCTTTGGTCTTGTAGCTCTATATGGGTTACTGCTTAAGGAGAAGGAAACACATGTTCATAAACTCCTTTATATTGTGAAATCAATACATTTTTATAAAACAATTGTTATTTACGAAGACGGAAGTCACAGACGATACCACCTACCACAGCCAGCCCTTAGCTAGTTTCCAGGACTCTCTCCATGTTGGTTCACGCCATACTGTTACTTTGGAAACTCAAATACGTCCAGAGGTCAGGCTGGTATGGAAATGAGAGGCTGGGAAGTGGTAGGGACTGGGGTGAACTAAAGCAGAAATACACCTTATCATGACGCATTACACGTACACACGTGTGCTTGTGTGTGCAGCTCTCCCCGAAGCAGTGCAGTGTCTACAGCCCGATACGTGATATTCTGAGCCCTCCCTTTTTTCTAAAGGGCATTGGGGCCTTTTCCTCCTCCTGGTTAGAGCCACGTGGGAATGGGGGCTGAGTGTTGCCAGATTTCTGGTTGTTCAAGAGAAGTTTCAAATATCTTTTTTAAATGCAAACTACTCAGACTTTTATATATTGGCTCATTTAACAACAACAACAACCACATGCTAGGTCACACACATCCGTGCACTACTCGATGCATGTATCACCTGTTTGCAATGTCTGGTGTAGACTGTTGGAGTTTTTTTTGTAACTTAACCTGTGTTCTGAACGCTTTTTCATGCTAGTAAATGACGCTTCAACACAGCCTTTCTGTCCTGTCGTAGGACCAGCCCGTGATGTTCTGCCGTGTGGCTCATCCGTGCACACCGCCAGGACTTGTGAACACGTCGGTTGTTGCCGAGGTTTTATAAGCAGAGGAAATTTAGCATGAATCAACCCCTCCTTCACCCCCACCCCACCTGGAGGGCTGGGGTGCACAGGAGGGAGGGGCCTTTTTTCTAACTTAATTCTAAGACTCCTGTTTCATGTAGTCAGAACAGCACTTAGCACAGGCTAGGATTTTGTCAATGTGGATAATAGATGGTGTGCTTTAGCCCGCACTCGTAAATTGCACATCAAAGTATAAAATCTTATTAAGTTATTGGTGACTTCAAAGGCTAACAGTTTTTCCTTTGGGCAGTATTTATGGCTTTGTAAAAGGACTGGCATCTGTTCCAAAGCGTAATTGGAATGAGCATTTCCCAATGTCTCTCTGCTTTTGAAAATGCCTAGAGTGATTCCAAACAGGGCTTCTCAGTCTTGGCCCTGTTGACAGTTTGGGCCGGATGACACTGTTGTGGGACTGTCCTGCGCACTGTAGGTTGCTTAGCAGCATCCCTGGTTCCTGCCCGTGAGATGCCAGCAGCACACCCTGTCCACAGAACCCCCCAAAATGCCTCCAGACATTGCCACGTATCTCCTGGGGGCACAGACACCCCTCCACTCCACATTGAGAACTACTGATCTAATGTACCACACTTCTGAATTTTAGCTCTGACAAAATTCTGATGGCTTCACATTAATCTTTGAAACTCTTCAATAT